CCCCACTAAAAATACAAACATCTACACCGCAGGCCAGGTAACACAGTCCAACTAACTATTCACTACTGGTGGTCTTTAAGCTCATTATTAAGTGCAATTATAGCTCTGGGATAAAAACTATTCAGAAAACCTGTGGTCCGAGTCTTAATTGTTCTATATCTTCTACCAGATGGCAACAGTTCCAAAAAGTTATAAGCAGGATGGGGAGAGTCTCTCAGGATGCTGTGTGACTTCCTCAGACAGCAGGATGTGAAGATGTCATCCAGGATTGGTAGCTGGAGCCCAGTGATATTCTGGGCAATTTTAATGGTTCTCTGTAGAGCTTTTTTGTTCGCTACAGAGCTACTCCCAAACCATGCCAGAATGCCATAGGTTAGGACAGTGGTTCTTAACCTTGGGTTACTCAGGAGTTTTGGACTGCAACTCCCAGAAGCCTTCACCACCTGCTGTGCTGACTGGGGTTTCTGGGAGTTGCAGTTCAAAAACATCCGAGTAACAAAGGTTAAGAACCACTGGGTTAGGACACTCTCAATGGTGCTACGATAGTATGACAGAAGATAAATTTAACTTGCCGAGCCTTCTCAGGAATTACAGCCTCTTCTGTGCCTTCTTCACTAGCATATTGGCATTTATATTCCATGAGAGGTCCTCTGAGATGTAAGTGCCCAGAAATTTAAAACTACCAACTCTCCCCACTTCCTTGCCATTTATGTACATTGGTAAATGTACATTTCTCTTCGTCCTAAAATCAATTATGAGTTCTTTAGTTTTTTTTATATTAAGTGTGAGATGATTTTCTTTACACCAAAGTATCAAACCTTGTACTTCCTTTCTATAAGCAGACTCATTGTTCTTATTTATGAGCCCCACCACTGTCATATCATCCACAAATTTAATAATTGTGTTGGTGTTATACAGTGGTATAAATGTATATACAGTAGTGCCTCGCTTAGCGATCGCTCCGTTGAGCGATGAATTCGCATAGCGAGGGGGTCCGGGCCATCGCTGGAGCGTTCGCTCAGCGATAGCCCCTATGGCGTTTTTTCACTGTGCGACGATTGCTAAGCGATTCGCGTAGCGATTTTCGCACAACAAAGTGGGGGAAAACAGCTGATCGGTGGTTCCAAAATGGCCGCCACAACTTTTCCCGCCGCACCCTCGCTTTGCGAGGGCCCGAAAATGGCCGCCCCTATGGAGAAGCTTCGCTCAACGGTAAGTTTAGGGCCCATTGGAACGCATTAAACCAAGTTTAATGCGTTTTAATGGGTTTTTTTGTTCCGTTGAGCGATGTTTCTCATAGCGATGGTTAATCCGGAACGGATTAACCTCGCTATGCGAGGCACCACTGTATTCTAAAAATGTGCACCAAATATATTCATGTTGAAAAAAGGTATGTACAAAAATATGTATACAGTTTGGTGCAAAAAACAACAATCCATGATGTAGGACATCATCAAGACCCTTGAAAATGTAACACCCAGATAACTATTATTTGTGTGGCTAATTAGCATATGATCCTATACTTTACATGTTTCCATTTGAGTTCTATCCTGGAAAAAAGATGGGATAGTGAAAATTAGATGGGATATACATTTAGTAAAATATTGATGTTTTGAAAAAAAGGTGAATGCTGTTTTGTTTAATAGTTTGTATTTTTGCATATAGTACAAAGATCTGTAAGTAATAGTCATATTTAGTTTTTTGCACAGCCTTTATAATCTATTTGCTAAGCATTTGAATTTATTTGATCCTTCGTGTACATATATGATAGACGTTTTTGTGGTATTTTAGATTATTCAGTACAATTCTGAAATTGTGTTATGTGCACTGGTTGGAAATCTGTCAGGTCTTTTAGTTTAGGAATTTCATTTCTTAATTTTCCATCTTTTTTAGACTGAACATTCTTCACGGTCAGAAAGGAAGAGACGTGACTCATTCGGGATGTTTGATGGTTATGATAGTTGTAGTGAGGATACCAGTAGTAGTTCCAGCTCTGATGAGAGTGAAGAGGAAGTTGCTCCCTTGCCCTCAAGCCTTCCAATTATCAAGAACAATGGACAGGTCTACACATACCCAGATGGCAAATCTGGCATGGGTAAGAATAAAAATTAAACAGATTTTTCCAGTGGCATGTTGAGTTAAATCAACCACTCTCCATCACATCTTGTTTCTTTTGTCCCTGTTTAACTGTTGGAATTGTGTGGGGTTTTTTGTTTGTTTGCTTTGTTTTGCCTGGTGCACTGGCATCTCTCTGCCTCTGCCATCAAAATAGACCCCACCCAGTCCTTGGCATTAAAGAAACTATTCTTTCTTGAGTGATGTTCAGGCAAAGTCTGCTCTTTGGTTGAAGGTAGGTATGATGTTCTTCTGCTTAACACTAGAGAGAAATTCCATTTTCCAGCACTAGATTGGAAATAGCAGGCCATTTCTTCTTGTACAAAGTGATCATTCTGTGCAAGGAGAAAGATACTCCAGTAATGTCAGATGGTGAGCATTGCAGGGAAGCTGGTGTTCTTTGGGGGAATGGCCTACCCCCTGACCTTATCCAGCCTTGAGGAGAGTGTTCCCAGAGACAGACCAATCCCCAGGGCCAAAATGCTTGTGATTCCTGAATATTAAAGGCATGTAATATTTTATCTTTTATGTAGTAAACAGTCATGTTAATCTATTTAACCATGATTTTAAGGAATTTATATTCGAGAGGTAAGAGAAAACAGGGGAGTTCGATACATTTGAGAACATAGATATTGGCTGAGGTCACGCACATTTTAGCCAAAGAAATCCAAAGAATTTCTGCTAGAATTTCATAATCCAGATTTTCTTTCCACGTGTTTGTGTATTTATACACAGAGAAAGTAAATTATTCTGATACCTTAAAGACTAGCAACTTTATTATCACACAGGCTTTCAAGAACACTGGCCATGTTGTGAGATGCATGAAGTGTTATCCTCAGTTGGCAGATTCTTGTGGGTGTGTGGTGGCATTGTAACCAGTGAAGTCAGAGGCAAGTAAAAAGCAGAAAGAAAATTGCCTTTTGCAAAACATCCTTTCATTGTTAAGCAGATTAGCATATTTGTTGTGATAAAACCTTTTCACCTGAAGAGACAGAATTGAATGGCTTGATGAATTGTACTTCAGAGCATTCATGCAACACTATTTGAAGTACCTTTGTCCGGAAATGGCCACTTCAAGTTCATTCATTAAGAAAATAGAATGAAGTTAATTAAGTGCAACTGGGCTGGCAGAAGCAAATTTTCCTGCTTCTACAACAGCCCCACCACCTCCCTGAAATTACTACAAAGGGAGTTGGGGAGGACAGAACACTGAATGAGGTGAGTGGTGGTGCAGCAGGAGTTCAGGTTGAAGTGTTTTTCCCATTCCCCTCCCAGTAGTGCCATTCCTGATGTTAAAAATGTTCCCCTTTTTTGTTCTATGTAGAAACTTGTCTGTCTGTCATGGGCAGTTAGCCATTGTGGGTAACTGATGGTGTATATCACGTGGAAGGACATGTATGTTATAGTTTCACAATCAAACTGTATATCTGATGCTCAGACTATAATAATTTCTGTAAAAAGAAATATAGATGCTTATCCAAAACAGTGGGACAAATTAAGTTGCATTTATAAGTTGCAATTTGCAGTTCAATCTCTTCAGAAATAACTGCCCTGACAAGTTTTAGTTCAGTCTTTCCAGCACGAGTAATTGGCCGTGTAAATCTTAAGGACGAAAGAAGATAGAAAAGCCAAGAAGGAAGGAATATTTAAAGACCTATAAACTATGTGTTTATTTTGATGCCCAAAGGGCTCTAAATTTATATGGTCTGTTAGGATTTGACTAGTTTGAATGCCCTGTGAACTGAAGAGAAAAATCAGTACAGGCAGTGATGTACAACAATAAATGCAACATGTGATATTCTAGATGTAAAATATTGGCCACTTTTCTGTTTTTAGCCACCTGTGAAATGTGTGGAATGGTCGGTGTCAGAGATGCCTTTTATTCTAAAACGAAGCGTTTCTGCAGCGTCTCTTGCTCAAGAAGTTACTCATCGAACTCTAAGAAGGCCAGTATTCTGGCCAGACTTCAGGTAACGGTACAGTCACACTTTTATTATCTTTATTATATAAATAGCATATCAATGGTAGTTGTTGAAAGTTCAGATTAGTGCATGGTCATAATTGTATTAAGTAAAGTGAAATATTGTAAACATTGTACTGCACTGGACCCAAACTCTATTTAGTCTAGTATTTGGTTTGTCAACTGCCTCGGACAAGCCCATAAGCAGGGCATGAAGGCAACAGCCCTTCTCTGTTTGTCTAGGATTTGTGTTCACTAGCATCTCATCCTAGTGAACACAATATCCCATTTGACTGTGATGGTTGATAGCAAGTGATTGATAAAAGAGGATATATTTAATCTCTTCTTATAGCTATTTAAGCTGATAAATAGCCACCACCATATCCTGGGTAAACGCAAAGCTTAATTTCAGTGTTGTGCGAAGAAATATTCTCTGTCCTTTTCTGAACTTGTTGTCAGTCTTTCTGTGTGGCTCAAGAGTTCTCTGAATCTATAAGAGAAAAAGTGGTTCTCTCTTTTCACACCATTCATAACTTTGTAATCATCTTTTATGTCTGTCATTATTTTTTAAAGTGGAAAAAACCCACCTCCAAATGCTTTTGCCTTTTCTCATTGCTGAGAATATTCCATATTTATGGCCAGAATCTTATTATTTGTTATACCGGTGTAAGAGGAATGCCATAAATTGCAGCACTGAATTGGTGCTAATTAATGAGTTGCCACATGGTATACAAGGAGGAATGCAGTTAGCAATTTGCTGTTGCATTGATGCCACTGTGCTTGAAGCCGTCATATGAAAACCTAACATAGTAGGATTTTGGCCAGTAAATTTTGACCAAAGATAACAACTAAAAGTTGCTATATGATGTGACCATGAGTATGCTTATGCAAGATAAGTCTCATTAAATTTAATGAGGCATACTACTGGACGCATAAGAACATAAGAAAATTCCATAAAAACATAGGAAACTGAGTCAGCTCATCTGGTCCAGTACTGTATTGCCATTTTTTATTTGCAGAGATACTCTCTGGGGTTTCAGGCAGAATTCCTTCTTACACCTCCTTGGTATTACCTGACAGTCTCCTGCCCAAGAACTAACTAGCCCATATTCCACTAATCTTCCAGAAGGTTGTGAGGTCAGCTGTGTAAAAGTTGGTGTAATTGTCTGTGCAGTTTGAACTTTATTACATTGGCTTGCTGAGCAGTTAATGCTAATCAGTACTATCTTTAAAATAGCTGCTATTAATTCTTTTAATAAGTGTTGTGAACCTCTATAAAAGGTTGCATTGCTATCCCTGTGGAGGATAACAGAGAACATTAGACACAGGCACTGGATATATTTGTATGAGAAAAGACTGAAGGAGATTAATCACTGGTATCCTTCGCTCTGCTACAAAGCGGAAGTGAAGGTAGCTCAGATACCTTTTACAACCCCCAGCAAAAGCAAAAGGAAGAATGGGAGCAGTTAGGCTGGAATTATTGCATGACTTTTGTAATGAGAGACTTGGAATTTTTTAGTATGTGTCTTCTGTCACCCTTGAAAAAAAATTAATGCAAATTGGTTTGGCTGGCATAGTGCAGTTGGCTCTGCAGTGTTAAATAGTCTTCAGGCAGAGGGATGCTAATGCAATTTCATCCAAGTGTGCTTGTTAAGTTTGAAATATTAATTTTATTCTCTTTCTCAAGTCCTAATTCAGAGTTAAAAAAAATAAAGGATTGATTTTTCATTGGTCTTGTAAAGTTAAGCTCTGTATTAAGTAAAAAGGAGAATTAGACACAAGGAGTTCTTATACTTTTGAGTTTTATATACTGTTTTTGTTCGTAGCTTCCTATGTTTGGCCTGTCTAAGAAACTAAAGAAACCCCTGTGGCTTAATACTCTATCTAGTCCTATTCACAAAGAAATTATATGGGCCATGCTTTGTAATAAGTTCCACAGATCAACTGTATTATGTGGAAAACCACCCTGTATCTGTCCCATAGGATGTTGCACTTTATGATATTGCACATCTGCCACCTCTTTCTAATAAATTCCAGTATGTAATAGAAACTCAAATTAATGACAAAAGAGCTGCTGGCTAGAAGATCTTTAAAATGATTTAACTTAGGTGAATGTTTTTTCTCCAGAAACTTAAATGTTGTCCTGTTTGCAAATTTAAGACGGCCTGCTTTCCAATAATACTTGATTGGAAAGTTTATTTTGTGCTATGTTTTTTTTTAATTGCGTTCTCAAAAATGTAATACTGTACTGCAGTGTTACATCACTTTGTGCTGTAGAATAGCAGAAGCAATGCCTCTAAAACGTTTTAATGCAGATTTGAAAAGAACCTTATTTAGCTCTTGTTGTTTTAGGGAAAACCTCCAACTAAGAAGGCTAAAGTGCTGCAGAAACAACCTCTAGTTGCTAAATTAGCTGCATATGCTCAATATCAAGCAACAGTACAAAACCAATCAAAGACTAAAACAGGTAACATGGGTATTAAGAGTCTCCAAAGAACAATTATGGGGATAAACCTCAGTTTATTCTTATTGTGGGGGAGGAATTTGCAGAAGAATTGCCTATGTTTCAGCAATCTTGTGTGTGAACAAGGGGAATCTTTCCCAATATTGTTGTGTCTATTGCAGGCATTTTCAATTCATGCTTAGCTAAAATATTAGGAAGAAAACATCCTGAGAGTTGTCACACACAAGCCTTACTTCTGCATTTTTACCTGCATTAAGGATTGAAATTTTTATCTTATTTGAGGGAAGAGGGGTCTGTTTCCTATAGTGCTGTATTTATTTATCTCAGTCTGGTAATTTAGGACTGGAGAAGCTGTGGCAGTTCTGATGCTGATTGACTCCAGTTGCATCAGTCTCATCTATCCATCTATCCAGCCTGGCCATTGATGAGGGCTTTGGGGTGAGGGCGGCTCAGATAATCAACATCTGGAGGGCCACAAGTTCCCCAGTCCAGTAGCAAAAGTCCTGTGTGTGCTGATGCCACCAGCATCAGTTGCTGTTTGATTCCAACTTCCATCAATTAACTTTGATTAAAATATGGCTGCTGTTGTTTGTTTGAGTTAATTTGCTGGGGGTGTGTGTCTTTGAAATAATCCTCCTGATGGAGAGCTGTTTTGCAGGCCATTTGAACTTTTCCCACTAGTCCTCTCTTTCTGTGATTCCCCTCCCCATCCCAACAGACTGGAAGCTCATTTCTAAATATTAAGTACAGAGAAAACTACTTATGGAGGTTTCTAAACAAAATTTCTCATTCTAGCATCTGTTCCAGTGGAAGGTTTCAATTGGGGCCACTACATCAGTAGCAATAGTTCCACAGCCGCTCCTGTTAACTGTTTTAAACATGTAAGTATGGTGTTGTTCTTTTTACTATTTTGTATGAACAATTATAAAATAATGTAAAATTTATTAGCATCTTCATGTACTTTTCGAGGAAAAAACATAGTTCTTTCTAATTACTTCAAAAATAATTTTTCTCCCAGTTGAATGACATTCGGAAGTGTATAATCTCCTAATAGTGTAAAGATTATGCTCAGGGAGCTTTATCTTCTAAGAGGAACCTTACCATCCACTTTACATAGTGGCTGTCACAGTTATTGTGACAGACGTCAGTTTTGGATGTGGTTCTTGCCTGCCTACATGTAACTTGCTTCCATAATACATGGATTTCCTGTCATAAAACCTGTGCACCTTGATCAGTAATCTAGTTTTTCTGCTGGGGTTTTATTAGGCTTGGGTGGAGCTCTGCTTAGCCCAGTCGAGCAAGATATGCTTCAAATTGCCTGCAGGTATCTCATGTATAAAACAAAGGGTTGCATCATTTCTCCTCAGAAGTGGGTGGAGTTCAGTACAAGCATGTTTTTCAGGTTGATTTAACAAGAAGGAACATGTTGCAATAAGTTACTTTGTCTTTAGTAAGATATTTTGTATGTTAAGCTATATAATGTTAGTTCCTTTTCACTGACACAGATCCAGAGTAAAATTCTATTTCTTTTCATTGTCGCATATAGTGCTGGTTTATTGAAAAAGTAGTCAGCTGTATGTGTAACCTTAAAAGTGAAGAGATCCTTTGTCCTGGGTTTTCGTTCGTTTGTTTAATCATTTAGTCGTGTCCGACTCTTCGTGACCCCATGGACCAGAGCACGCCAGGCCCTCCTGTCTTCCACTGCCTCCCGGAGTTGGGTCAGATTTATTTTGGTTGCTTCGGTGACACTGTCCAACCATCTCATCCTCTGTCGTCCCCTTCTCCTCTTGCCTTCACACTTTCCCAACATCAAGGTCTTTTCCAGGGAGTCCTCTCTTCTCATGAGATGGCCAAAGTACTGAAGCCTCAGCTTCAGGATCTGTCCTTCCAGGGAGCACTCAGGGTTGATTTCCTTTAGAATTGATAGGTTTGTTCTCCTTGCAGTCCAGGGGACTCTCAAGAGCCTCCTCCAGCACCACAATTCAAAGTAATCAATTCTTCAGCGGTCAGCTTTCTTTATGGTCCAGCTCTCACTTCCATACATCACAACAGGAAAAACCATAGCTTTGACTATTCGGACTTTTGTTGGCAATGTGATGTCTCTGCTTTTTAAGATGCTGTCTAGGTTTGTCATTGCTTTCCTCCCAAGAAGAAGGCGTCTTTTAATTTCGTGGCTGCTGTCTCCATCTGCAGTGATTATGGAGCCCAAGAAGGTAAAATCTGTCACTGCCTCCATATCTTCCACTTCTATTTGCCAGGATGTGATGGGGCCAGTGGCCATGATCTTAGTTTTTTTGATGTTGAGTTTCAGACCGTTTTTTGCACTCTCCTCTTTCACCCTCATTACAAGGTTCTTTAGTTCCTCCTCACTTTCTGCCATCAGAGTGGTATCATCTGCATATCGGAGGTTGTTGATATTT